GTGTAATTTTTATTTATTAAAAATAATCTTATTATTGACAAAGATCCGTTAATTCTATGGTTAGTCAAATAACCTAAGTTGTGTTACAATATCTTAAGTGGGACGAATAAAATATGTTTATTTAATTATATTTGCATGTCTATTCTTGTTATTTGCACAATTCTTCTTCCCTTGACATGTTTTTTAAAGCAATTATGTTATAAGACGTATCAATTATTTAAGTTTTTGATGAATGAATTTCAAAATCCAATGACAAAATGGTCATTTTTTCTTTAATTTGAAAACAAGTTTACAAATAATTTGAACATTTTTTAAATTGATTTTTATAAATGATAATACATGTATATTTATATTACTATTTGAACAAAGTTTTTTTTCATTTATGTATTGGATCTACAACTTTTTACAATTAAACATACTTTACTTAAAAATAATTTCAGTTTGGTTTTGTTTTTTATTAAGGTATTTCATTTTTTCTTTAGTTTCAATTACTTTAAATATAGGTTATAATAGATTTATTGTGTTAAGAGAATATATTTAAGTGGCTTTGAAATAATTCATCAGATCTGCAATATAAGATATTTTTCAACCAAATAAATTAATGTCATATCCTCTTAATTTTAACCAAACACAAATGAGAATAAGTTAATCACATTCTCATCAATCAAATATCCCCTTGGTAATTTGCATTTCTTGAATAAACGAACCCTAAAAATTATTATGACATGTGATGGAGTTTAATCCAACTACGAGATCTATATCTACGAGAGCAGATGAAATTCGGACGGCGTAAGGCAGTATTATTAACCCCGAATTCGGTCCCTTCATAGGAACGTTATCAAACCTTGCTTGGCCGCATAATCCAGGACAGTGCTCACTGGATGTGTTAAAGGTAAAAACTCTGATTGACTGGTTAGAGGTCCATCGGGTACACCCGATCTTTCCCCAACCTTTCTTCTTCCTTTTGGATCCATTCCCTTTGTCTTGGTCACGGGCTTCCTTTTTTGAACTCTTTTTCTTCCCGTCTTCAAGTTGGTGCTTTCCTTCCTCCTCTTCTCTCTTCCGCTTCTAAGCCTCTTCCACCTCAGCTTGTGCGTCGGCTCGCTACAAGGCTTTCTCGTGTGAGATCGGGGGGCGCCGTATGAATTCTTTATACAGCTCACCCAACCTCAGTGCATTGGTGAGTATGGCGACGACAGATCTGTCATCCAGGCCGTCCACCTTCACCGATTCATCCCTCCAACGAGCTAGGAAGGAGGCTAAGCTCTCCTGGCGTCCCTACCTAACTCCCAGGAGGTGAAAGAAATTCTTCTTGGAGTCTTTAGAGCTGAAAAATGCCCGGGCAAACTTTCGGAAATTCCAAATTCCTCCGTCAGGCAAGGAATCATTCCATTCTCAGGCTGACCCGTCCAGTGTCACCGAGAATCCTTTGCACTTGATGGCATCATCGTATCCCATCATCACCATGTAGGCTACATACCTGGAAACATGGTGTTGGGGATCAATTTTTTCTCGATAGACCTCATTATTGCAAGGCATGTACCCTTGCGGCAGCGAAGCATCCATAATTGGCAGATGAACGGATCGGGAATCCTCACATCATGGTTGAGGTTAAGCCTACCATCCACCTCCCTCCTGAGCTCTTCAAGTCTCCTTCTGAGGTCATCCTTATCATGGCATGTTCGGGCATGGGGTGGAGAAGGACGATCATTGCGGGTCCGCCGATTTGCATTGATCTCATCTCAGAGATCTCCCCCACGCATGCTGCGACGGTAGGAGGAGACAGCCGCAGAGGATGCCTCCTCACTTCGTTCCACCCTGTAGAAGAGCCTATCGTGCACGGAGACCCTCCGTCTGCCCATTCGATCCATCACCGAAGCCCTCGGGGTTTGCCTAGAGTGATGAGATCGCTGAGACCTTACAGGTGGTGAATTCCTTTGACGTTGCGCAGAGATTTCCTCCTCCTGTTGGGGCACTGATGGAGCCCGACGCGGGGAAGGAGGTCTTCCGTAAGGGTTAGGGACAATACCTTGAAAAGTGGTGGTCAAGGTCTCCACGGCCCTCTAGGATGTTGCCAAACTTGCCAAAGCTTGCGCAGGATCAACGTTGGGGATGAGGTTCCCTGTGCCCGACGTCTGAAATTGTGGTGGACTCGTTGTCGGACGTCGGGAACGCCGAACAGCTTGCAATTGGTTTCTCAAGTCACCTTGAGCCGCTATGTTATCGTTCCGTTTCCGGAATTCGCTCCGCCTTGACCTAGACCCTCCGTCTTCAATCACGACATGCTCAAAACGTGCACCATCTTGATTGCTACCCACACGGTTGTGACTGCGTGATCCAACCATTATAACCATAGATCGTTCTCTCAACGAGAGAACCAAATGATAGAATTTAATCCAACTACGAGAGCTATATCTACGAGAGCTGATGAAATTTGGGCAGCGTAAGACAGCATTATTAATCTGGAATTCGGTCCCTCTTACCACCTGCCCCTACCTCGATCCCACCCCTACCCCCAAACTCCCATATCCCTTACCACCCTCCCCCGATCATACCCTTTACCCACCCTCACCCCAACCCCTTACTCACCCTACCCCTTTACCCCATACCACCTGCCCTTACCTCAACCCCGAACCCAACCCCGACCCCAACCCCTACCCTGACCATACCCCACCGCACCCACCCCCACCCATAACCCCCTTCCCTACCCCTTTATCCCCTACCACCTGCCCCTACCTCGACCCCACCCTACCCCATCCCCCGAAACCCCGCCCTCCCTATCCCTTACCACCCTACCCCCGACCATACCCCCGCCTATTTACCCTACCCCCTTTACCCCATACCACCTGCCTTTACCTCAACCCGACCCCTACCCCTACGAGTAGGGTAGGTGTTAGGGGTATGGGTTGTAGGGGAGTAGGGGTAGAGGGTAAGGGTAGGGGTCAAGGGTGTGGAATTGGGGGTAGGATGTAGGGGTGGGTGCGGCGGGGTATATGGTAGGTGGTTAGGGCGGGGGTAGGGGTTAGGGGTATGTGTACATGTACGAGGTGACCCAACATATTATATTATATAAATGTGTTCATGACTGTTTGTGTGTCTATATGTATGTATAAGGTTATTTTGGACATTTTAATGTTAAACGGTGATTAAAATCTTTTGAAATAAAATGAGCTTACAACACTGCTTATTTTATGTGCTGCTTATTAACCCGAGTCTTAATAAGCGCCGTTTAGTAACCCGTGAAGTAAACGTGTCCTTGTTCTTTTTTATATGATCTGATTTGATATAAATCTTTCTAATCTAATCTGAACCTTTCTAATTTGATCTGATTGAGTATTTATTGTTGTTCTTATTGTTATAGTTGTTGTTGTTGCTATTATTAGCGGTTGTAGTATTAGTATTGATCATAATCATTACAATTATAATTATAACAATAATTATCCGTATCATTATGTTATTTTTATAATTATGATTATCATTATTATAAGCTTTATCAATACCATTACATTACATAGTATTACATTACAATTATTATTATATCACAAATACTTAAATGTTTGTATATATTATATGAGTGCTACCTAGTGACCATGACCATGTATTGATTTTGTTAGTTTTTCCGTGTTTGTGTTTTACGTTTTAATTGGTTTTTACGGTAGTAATTGCACATTTATGGTGCAACTATTTATTTTCATACTCCTTCCGTCCTTTACAACTTTGTCAACTTTGATCGACACGAGAATTAATAAAGCAAAATTGTGTGATTGAGATTTGTGCAGATGAGAGAGAATTAACTGTAATCACAAATTCTTTAATTAAAAGGAGAAGTAGCAAAGTCAACGGGATAACCATAAATGGAAAGTTGACAAAGTTATAAGGGATGAAAGAGTAGTTTATTGTAATTTGTTAGTTTTAGAGGATCATGAGTCTGAATAAGTTAGTCTACAACAAAGGATTTTACAAGATCAAAGAAAGGTGAAGGAGGAAGACCTCGTGCAAAAACTGTAATTTGGTGGCACACCCGATTATATATAATAATATCTAGTCAAGTATGATTCGAATCAATAATCATATAAGATCAAACAAAGCAAGAGAAAGTGGAAAAATCATACCCGATTGAATATGAATATTATTGTTTTTAGAAAATAAAACAGTTGTACATGATTTTTGTACACTTTTGTATACATATGTTATTGTGCCAGTGCACGCACACACACACAAATCATTTAAAGAGGTAAAAAATCATGGGAGAGTTGGATTTTGCACCCCACTTTTTGGGTGATTTCAGACTTTACACCCCATTAAAAAAATCCATTGAGTTTGCATTCAATTCAGAAATTTTCTTTACAAAATATTGTATGATAGAATGCAAAGTCAAAGTTTTTCAAAAATAGAGAGTAAAGTTCAATACCATCTACAATGTAGGATGCAGAGTAACAGTCTTCCAAAAATATCTATAAACATAAGTGAGTGTACAAAAGTCTACACTTTTTATATACACAAACACTTAGTCCTCTTTTTTACTGAGTATTATGAAAGTTTTTGCATTCAAAGAATTCAACATTTAGAGCTCGTCTGGTAATACGGAAATAGGTTGAATCGACGTATTCTGCTGAAATATACTCCCCCCGTCCCCTTAACTTTGTCCCGTTTTACCCTTTTCATTCATCCCATTAAGTTTGTCACATACCATATTTGGTAATATTTGGGTGGTTATAATTCATTCTTACTTTATTCGCATTTGTCAATTCAATACCAACAACACAATTCCACTTTTTCTTAAAAGTTGTGTCACACCCTTTTGTCCCAAACATAGTGGGATGTAGGTAGTATGAAATTGTGATTTGTGAGTGAAGTAGTTTTTTTTTTAACGAAACTAGACTAGACTACATGAACAACACAATTCCACTTTTTCTTAAAAGTTGTGTCACACCCTTTTGTCCCAAACATAGTGGGATGTAGGTAGTATGAAATTGTGATTTGTGAGTGAAGTAGTTTTTTTTTTAACGAAACTAGCCTTTATTCATATCATAAGTTTCAGGATCATTACATCAATGAAATGAAAAACAAATCTGACACCAACGACTATGACCGTAAACCCTATGGTGAGACTCAGAGACGGTCACCCCTGAAAGAGCAACACGAATCGCTAACCATGTAACGGGCTTGGCACAACCATCCCTGTCTCCAAAGATCCAAACATACCCAATGACCTGGACAAAAGCTAAAATCCCAAACAGACTGACACATCTAACAACATAGACAGTAGCGAGAAACCAAATGACAAAATAATAAAGTCTCATCGAAGGAGGACAAAACATAAGAAAAACTAAATAAGCAAAGTAAAAGTCTTGAACCCTAACACCTCGTGCAATCCCTGGCGGTGATTCAGGAGGAGGCCGGACCTTCGTCGCTCGATTGATTGCCTCTCTCATTGTGGCACTGGGGTCGGATTCAGAAGTCCCACATCATCTATTCGTAGATCACCCACCTGCTCTTCCTCTCGGTCACGGCCATCCTTGCGACTGCCGTCTAAACCGTCCTCCATCGCCTTGCTACCACAATTGACCAAGCCACACAAAAATGACGCCATAGCCGCGTCGATACCCAGCGCCGCACGAAGATTACGAAGACTTCGCCGGCGAAATTCCAACCCCTCAGCTCTCGCTAGGGTAAAACGCGATCCACTGTGAGTGAAGTAGTTGAATTGATTGATTCTATTGATTTAAGAAAAAATAATATTTATAATATATTTTATCAATAAAATAAAGAAAAAATTATATTTAAAATAGCTTAAATGATCATATATAATAATTTTAACTTTACTTTTTTATTACACATTTCAACACAAAAAATGAAAAAAATACTTATTTAATGAAAATTGATTAAAACTCCCTCTGTTTCCAAAAGAAAGTCACAGTTTGACTTCACAATTATTAAGGAAATAAATTGACTTTACTGTAGAGAACTCTATTTAGACACTGTTTGGGCAATGTTCGACACTGTTTTGATCTGGATTTCTTTTTCAAATCAATATATATATATAAAAGAGGAACTTTTCAAGAGCATACAAAGCGCCACATAATCCTGCCACGTCATTATATAAAAGATTTTATTGGATTCCTATTAAAATTAATATAGAAAAAATATATATACGTTCATAAATGTAAAATGCTTTTGATAGATTCCTTTTACGTATAAGAGATTCCTCTTATACGTATTACATTCCTATTAGCTCATTAAATTTTAAAATAATCAATATTTTTGTACCTTTTATTTATATTAGATTCTATTTTTGATTGCATATTAATATGAAAAATAAAAGACCGTAGAAATCCACCTTATTTATTTGAGATTTGAGAATATTACCCGGAATAGGAGCAAAAAAGTGAAAATTTAAAAATATGCCTGTCATGTTTTTATTCCTAAAATGGGACTTATTACTACGTACTCCGGATTATGTTTTGACAGTACCAGACTTCAAACATGACAGCATTTTTCAAACTGAGTAATAATTACTCCTATTTTGGGAATAAAAACATGATAGCCCTATTTTGGAATTTGGGAACTTTTTTAGTCCTATTTCGGAAACTTTCTCTATTTAATTTGGTAACTTTTCAAAATCTTTTACGTATTTGAGAAATATTAACTTTAGTAATTGGAACCACAACAATTAATAATCAAATTTTAAGTATTGGATCACACAGTAACAATCATGTAATTATTTTTATATACTTTTTATTTTTTACTACGTACTACTCTGTACATTCTATCGAAGAGATGAAGTATCCTTTTTTTTGCCCACTTTATAGATAAATCAGCAAAATTGCAATTAATTTTGTCTTCAAATTTATGTGATTAAAATATCCAGTCCCATTTTCTAAAATATAATATAATATTTTTCTAAACTCAATGCTGAGATAATGATAAAAATGTGTTAATACTTTGTATTTTTCTGCATCTTCATACAATTCTTTTTTATTTATTAATATAGTGATGAAAACTATGACCATCATACTGTTGAAATTAAAAACGAAATTAATACTATTAGATTATCAAATATATATATAATCTCTTAAAAATAATACTTGTGATCAGGTAACTTACCTTATTTGATAAGGATGAAAATTAGTATCTCCCTCACACACGTGTATGTATGTATATCTATCTGTATATATATTTTCACAAGTAAATATGTTTAGGCTATATAGCCAAAAAAGAAAATATGATTGGTTGTTTCTTTATTTTTACAACTAGAGTTTAAATATGCTTTCATTATATTCCTAATCCAAATTTGAAATCTTTATAAGTTTAAAAATTCCTAATTTTTATTTAACAGAGTGTTTTTATTAGATTGATTTAAGTTCCACACTAAATCAGATCATATCAAAGTTTAATAATTATAATAATAATAATAAGTCACATAAAATGTAAAACAGACATCTACCAAACCATATTAATTCAAACCAAATCAAACCTAGACTTTTAATTTAATTAAAGATGTTCTTATTAATGAGTAAAATGTAAGATCTCACTATTTTTGAATTTTGACTCCACTTTTTTCAAAGATACGGAGTGCATATACCAACATTTGTGTATAGTACTGATAAAATTTTATATGCACAGTGGGTGTATACATGTATTGGGGTCACATTAAAAAAACACGGGATTGGTACGTAATAAAGTAAAACTTGATTGGTACATAACTTGAGGAGTATTAGAAAAAAACTTGAGATGCATAATAAAGTAATTTAGAGGATGAGCGATTATGAATTCTTTAAAATCGGGTTCATAACAATTATATTTACTTGTTGGCCAAAACACCAATTATATTACTTGAGATGCTTATGTAGAAGATCATATTAAATATTTTTCATATAATTTTTTTTTGTTTTACAAATCGAATATTTTACAAATTTTTGTTATGATTGAGAAGATTTCACCTATTCAGCCTATTCAACCAGAATTTAATCAATTTCAACAAAATAAGCTAATTTAGTATTGTCAAACGGACTCTATATTAGAGTGAGTTTAATGTACTTTTGCATCACATTATATATGACCTTGAAAAAAATCAAATTTAAAACTAGCTAAATTATACACTTCCCGTGCATCGCACGGGCTTGAGAACTAGTAAATAAATAAAGTAAGTATGACCTTGTTTTTTTAACATCCATAAAAAAGTGTGACTAAACATTTAATAAATTGATAAATAACGTTACAATATGGGCTTCTAAATGAAAGACTAATTCGTAATAACTTTTAACTTTTTCGATGAAGATTTTATGTGAGATTTGATACGACTTGCTAGACTGAAGATTGTTTTTGGATCCGATGTGACTTTTGGTCAATGTGACTTTCGATTAAACAATAACACTAATTAATAGTCAGTAAATGTTTTACCGAGTAATTCACATTGAAGTCTTTTGTAATTTGTAAGAGGGACATTATATATTTAAAGTAAAGAGAAATCATCATGTCAGGCCGGCCTGACCGGGAGAGCCGTCCGGCCGAGCCCTTTTGGCAACCTTCCCGGTGGAATTTTTTGATGAAATTTTTTGAGCATGTTCCTCGTCAAGTCTAGTTTGTCCATACCAAATTTCAGCTCAAAATTCGATCGGGAAGGCATTCAAATCTTTTTTTGACGCAGTCAACTTCAAAAAAAGATTTGAATGTCTTCCCGATCGAATTTTGAGCTAAAATTTCAAAAAAATTCATCAAATTTTTTTTGACAAACTAGACTTGATGAGGAACATGCTCAAAAAATTTCATCAAAAAATTCCACCGGGAAGGTGCCCAAACGGGCTCGGCCGGACGGAGGTTCCTGTCAGGTCGGCCTGCCAAGAAGAGTTCTCTTAAAGTAAATACTCGTATGTTATTGAACGGATATAATCAAAATATGTCAACCGTATGACAGGATGTCTAATTGCTCTAATTGCGCCGGCTGTGTATCATTCTTCCGACAAGATGTCTATGGCACGTTCAAATTCGCTTAAGAAGGTGTGTTGTATTAGGAATTAAATCTAGGTGAATTCAATGTAGATTTTTAAGTTGTATTATATTAGGAATTAAAGAGTTTTTTCCTGAAATAATGCTAATTAAATAAATAATTTCCAAAATACTGTTGGGTTAAAAATAATTTCCAAAATACTGTTGGGTTAACCGTGGTTAAGAAAAGCCGCCACTTAAAGTGGCGGCTCTTCTCTTACAGTACAAAAGCCGCCACTTCAAGTGGCGGCTCTTCTCTTACAGCACATTTTGTACATATATAAAACGCAGTATTAGGAATTAAAAACCTATAAAATTTAGGGGTATTTAAACTTAAATTTCATTCTTATTTATTTTTAAAAGAAAAAATTGACAACAATAATCTCATTTTTCACTGGTCTTCTCATAATAATCTCACTTTTACATAATCCCAAATTAATCCCACATTTGCATCTCATCTTCTTTCATTGGACCCTAACCAGGTTTTTTACTCTTTTTTGAAAATCTTATATAAATAATCTCACATTTATAAAGATATAATAAAAAAGTGAAAGGTGAAATTATTTACTTCCTCCATTCTTAAATAAGTGCAATACTTTCCTTTTTCGACAGTTTCAAATTAAATGCAACATTTCTATTTTGGGTAGGAAATGCTAAGCAAATTGACTTTTATACCCTTACTTTTGCCGTCTCCACTCATTTTAGACATGACCCTTTTACTTACTCCACCCACCACCGCCCACAGATTTCAACTCCTCTTTACAGCTTCTCCCTCTTCCATTTTCGTACTGTATCTCTTCATCATCCTAACCTACCAAAATCTACTTTCACCTCCCACCATTATTGGTTTTTTTCTCCGATTTCTTTTTTTAATTACCGTCGAAAGGGAAGACATCGATGGAGATGAAACCGATTTGGCGTGCCGCTGATCAAGGATAGCTACCACAGAATCTAATTCGACTTCGAATTTTTGTAACTGGCTTAAAGAATTATCTGTAAGTCTATGGTGAGTGTTGCGGATGCTGAAAGGGGAAAGTAGGCTGCAAAAATAATCTGGCCTCTCGTTTCTCAGCACCGCTCCCGTTGTTCTTCTTTGACGTTTTTTTTGGACTTTTGATTTTCCCCTGCATAGCGTTTCTCCATAGGGTTCTCCATCGTGTTGGTGGTTGTAATGTGTTTGCACTGTACCACTTTTAATTGTACAGCTGTTGTTTCGATATGATGAAGGGTGAACGAGTAAAAGTGCAATACCTTTTAGCTAGGGGTGCAAATGAGCCGAGCCGCTCGTGAGCCGCTCGCGAGCCGCTCGGTCAAAGCTCGAATCGGGATCGGTCAAATTCGAGCTCGAGCCGAGCTCGAGCCGGCTCGTTAAGCAGTCGAGCCCGAGCTCGAGCCTTCTAATTTCAGGCTCGAGCCTTCTATATATATATATATATATATATATATATATATATATATATATATATATATATATAATCATATATATATATATTATATAATCATATATAATATATTAGTATATTACTATGCAATATAAATTAATATATAATGTATACTGTTATAATGTACGGAGTAATATATATGATATACTCCCTCCGTCCCCTTTTAAATGTCTCGGAAGAGTATGACACGAGTTTTAAGAAAAGTGGGTTTGTGTGATTGATATTAATTGATAAAGTAAGAATAAAGTAAAAATAATTTTGAACCACACAAACTTTACCAAATAAGGTATGAGACAATTAAATAGGGACATCCCAATATGGTAAAATGGGACATTTAAAAGGGGACGGGGGGAGTATATAATATATGCTGATTAGTAAAATTTTATAATATTTTAGGCTTAGGTCGTTACTACTCAGTAGAAAAACTTAGAATGGGCCGATGACAGTGAATTTTTACTACAGACTCATTATGGAGCATCATAATGGTTATCGAGCCTCGAGCCGAGCCGAGTCGAACCGAGCCTTCTGCGAGTCGAGTTCGAGCCGCGATTTTGTAGGCTCGTTCGAGCCGAGCCCGAGCTCGAGCCGATGCTATATATTTCGAGCTCGAGCTCGAGCCTGTAGAAAATCGGGCTCGGCTCGGCTCGTTTGCACCCCTAGTTTTAGCTGCCTCTTAATTTCCGTGCCCATGTGCATGTTGCACTTAAAACGGAACAGAGGAAGTATATGATTTTCAAATAAAGAGTAAAAAACATGGTCAGAGTCCAATGAAAGAAGATGGGATGCAAAAGTGGGATTATTCTGGGATTACATTAATGTGAGATTATTATGAGAAGACCAGTGAAAGGTTGGATTATTCTTGTCAATTTTTCCTTTCTAAAATAACGATTCGCGTAGACTTTTAACTCATTCTTAATACATCAATTCTCTGCAATTGCGTCTTTCCTGACCAAAGATTTTCATGGATTTTTCTGTTGTCTTCTACCCGTCACAAGTACGCATGGAGCTGGTTGCAGATTTGGCCAAATATTTACCCGCGCGGGATCATAAACCAGGCAAAAAGTCTTTGACTCGTACCGGCCAGGTCGAGAGGTGGGTACTGGGATAAATAACGTTGAACAAGGAGATTCTACATTAATACCTGATAGCCATTATATTTACTTGTGTTTAACATAAGCATTTATAAGTATTTGTTGAAGAAAAGAAGAGAAATCGGGCAAATACCTCCAGAATGAGAGCTAGAGCATAAATATTGCGATGAACGACTTTTTGGGCCAAGAGAATGATGTTCTGCCCATAATTTGAGTATGACTTATTCTATAGAACTCGAAATCACTCGATTCGAGTTTCATGTGAATGCTAACTCAATAAGGTACAAATGTTATAAACAAGTCATGGCCAAAATATGAAAGGAGAAAGACTCAATCAACCAACAAAGTCAGATGTTTCTGGTGGGATTTCAGGATGCATACCTCTCAGTGTTGTACCCATATCTTTTGATTGGCTGAATAAAATCACGTCATTGAAGTTTTGGTGGATAGAAGACTTCATTATCTACAACTTTGGTGAAGGAATCATGTCCAAATTCGTAACGGAACATCCCCAAAATCCCATGACAAAATCGGCGCCGGAATTTCACCAAACCTGCGCCAGTTGCATTTAATCCGGTCAGCCGAAGTATAACGGTGCCGGTTTTACCCTATAACCAGCACCAGTTATGGTGTTTTTCAGTATTATTCCAGCCCCGAAGTAAAACCGGCGCCGGTAAAGCCTAAAACCGGCGTCGGTTATGCCCGAATCTACATAAAACACAAAGACATGCAACCATATTTTGATGGGAAAACTCCACTTTCCTTATGATATGATCAAATATTTCTTCCATGCCTGATTGTTGGGCTTGAATATACTAAAAGATGTCAATCTTTAGCCTATATAAAGCCCCCAATTCATCAAACAAGATCATCATTCCATTCTTGATGATTAAATTTCAGTTTTTATATTTCCTTTTTGTATTTTCTTGAAGTGTTGGAGAAGAAGCCATTTCTCTCCTCTACAATTGGTTCTAGGTATTATTTCTTGTATGTTATTGTATTTCATTGTTCTTAGTTACACTTTTGTAATTAATATGAGTATTAGAGGCTAAGTTCTTAGCTAAGGCTAGGGATGAACTTCTATACCCACTAGGTGTTTGATAAAAGTTCTAAACCAATAAATTGTGATTTATCTTTTACATTTTGATTGTTTATGACTATGGTGTACAACATAGAAGTATGTTAAACTTGGTTTATGCTTGCAATTAACGTTGAAGTCTAAACTATGAACATTAAGGGGTAAACATATATATTACCGAGAATAGAAATATATCCGGTATTATATGATACGAGTGTGATGTCTTGATATTCAACGGGGCTTTTGGTAGATGAATGTAAGCCGTAACAGGACTTACACGTAACGAAAACCACGCTCTCGCTGCCTTAACCGGAGTTGATAATATATTAGCGACATCGTATTCATAATTATTGGTAAAGAACTAATATTCAACCCTATTAAAGCATTTAAGTGATTCCCTGAGCCTTAGCCGTTGTTATCAGTCACCTTAAATTCGAATTAATCAAGGTTATTTCCTTGAATTAAAAGTGAAAAGCCAAAAATATAAAACACAGCTCAAAATCTCTACACTTTACTCATTTCAATATTTAAAGTTATCCACTCTCGGACTTGAATTGAACAACGTTTCCCTGTGGATTCGACCCGGTATTTTACCGGAATTTATTACTATATCGGCACTTGTACACTTGCAAGTTTAGCCCGGTCAATACCGACACACAAGACAAACTTTAAAAAAAAAAGTGGTCTTACAAAGAAAAATGTATGAGTGAGATCGGTCCAATTCTTGAAAGAAAATTAAGAACCATTAATTTCATATCGATTCAGATCTAGAAGTTTTTAGAAGAACTGATATAAGAATCGATTGTATTACATTGGTGCAATTCTAACACATTGTCTGTTAACCATTAGGATTTTTTTTTAATTATTACTATGTTTAATTGTTAAACCGCTAACACATAAAAATATAATTTCAAGTTAATAAATTAAATATTTAATGTAAATAAGTATGCAAAATTTAACAAAGTAAAAAATGAAAAGAAAATAATTATTAAGAAGACAAGCTCGATTATTGCACCTATGTTAATAGAAAATAACTTGGGTAGAGAAACCGGCAGTTATTCAAGATATCAAAAGTGGCATTCCATATACAAAGAATAGACGTCCTATTTATAGGCATTCACACGAGGCTTAAACATTGAGGCTAATGGGCTTGGCCCAATTAAACAACTCACACTAACGCTCATGAGCCGACTCGCCCAATAGATAAATAAATAATCCCAGATCCATTTCCGTTAGTCGGGTTGTGTTCCGGACCTGGTTAGGCCCAAGCTTAGGTATTACGGGCCGATAGCACTGGATTCGGCCCATTATCCCAACACAACTCCCTCACCCCATTAGTCGAGTAGTAGACTTGGCTAAAAGAGAGTAGTTGAGTTGCTTTTAAATCGGCCCAACTACCGGCGTGACTGGCTAGTTGCATAGTTGACTGCTAATAGTGGCGATTCGAGGGTTTGCCCGGAAAAATTAGTCTTGTGGTTGTTCGCTATGGTTCCATTACTGATCAATAAAAATGAGATTTATCTCGTTTGGGTAACAGTCCATGGTCTTGATTGTCCGATTAGCGAGCCGGGATCTTCATTGTTTTGGCCGGGGAGACCCCTTCTTTTGTTCATGATGAGTGGGGCGCCTCGTTAAAACTTTACTAGGAGAAAACTCAGTGGAAAAAACTCCAGTGAAAGAAAAAGAGTACACAGGTGCTTCAAAATAAAACATAGGAAGGCTATCCCTCGGGTCTTAATCAGCCCTATGCTTTAATCCCTTCTCCATAAGCTTTAACAATTTGGGCCCGAGATTTTGACATGCGGGTTTTGATCTCCATATGCATATATGTTAACCCCACGTCGGAAAGAATTAAGCCCTTAATTGCAATTCTATATGGCTTCCAAACTTAGCATCTTTGCAAAGTTCAACCGGCTCAATATCCGGACACACACACATGAGAGGGTTCGAGTGAGAATTCCTACTAAAATGAGAACTCATTAAATACTCGTATGTTATTGAACGGATATAATCAAAATATGTCAACCGCATGACAGGATGTCTAATTGCTCTAATTGCGTCGGCTTTGTATCATTCTTCCGACAAGATGTCTATGGCACGTTCAAATTCACTTAAGAAGGTGTGTTGTATTAGGAATTAAATCTAGGTGAATTCAATGTAGATTTTTAAGAAGATGTATTGTATTAGGAATTAAAAACCCATAAGATTTAGGTGTATTTAAACTTAAATTTCATTCTTATTTATTTCTAAAAGAAAAAATTGACAAGAATAATCCCACCTTTCACTGGTCTTCTCATAATAATCTCACTTTTACATAATCCCAAATTAATCTCACATTTGCATCTCATCTTCTTTCATTGGACCCTAACCAGGTTTTTTACTCTTTTTTGAAAATTTCATATAAATAATCTCACATTTATAAAGATATAATAAAAAAAGTGAAAGGTGAAATTATTTATATGATTTTCAAAGAAAGAGTAAAAAACCTGGTCAGAGTCCAATGAAAGAAGATGAGATGCAAATGTGGGATTATTCTGGGATTATGTAAATGTGAGATTATTATGAGAAGACCAGTGAAAAGTTGGATTATTCTTGTCAATTTTTCCTTTCTAAAATCACGATTCGCGTAGACTTTTAACTCATTCTTAATACATCAATTCTCTTCAATTGCGTCTTTCCTCACCAAAGATTTTCATGGATTTTTCTGTTGTCTTCTACTCGTCACAAGTACGCATAGAGCTGGTTGCAGATTTGGTCAAATATTTACCCGCGCGGGATCATAAACCAGCCAACAAGTCTTTGACTCGTACCGGCCAGGACGAGAGGTGGGTACTGAAATAAATAACGTTGAACAAGGAGATTCTACATTAATACCGACACACAAGACGAACTTTTAAAAAAAAAATGGTCTTACAAAGAAAAATGTATGAGTGAGATCGGTCCAATTCTTGAAAGAAAGTTAAGAACCATTAATTTCATATCGATTCAGATCTAGAAGTTTTTAGAAGAACTGATATAAGAATCGATAGTATTACATTGGTGCAATTCTAGCACATTGTCAGTTAACCATTAGGATTTTTTTAATTATTACTATGTTTAATTGTTAAACCGCTAACACATAAAAATATAATTTCAAGTTAATAAATTAAATATTTAACGTAAATAAGTATGCAAAATTTAACAAAGTAAAAAATGAAAAGAAAATAATTATTAAGAAGACAAGCTCGATTATTGCACCTATGTTGGTCGAAAATAACTTGGGTAGAGAAACCGGCAGTTATTCAAGATATCAAAAGTGGCGTTCCAAATACAAAGAATAGACGTCCTATATATAGGCGTTCACAAGAGGCTTAAACATTAAGGCTAATGGGCTTGGCCCAATTAAACAACTCACACTAACGCTCATGAGCCGAATGACCCAATAGATAAATAAATAATCCCAGATCCATTTCCGTTAGTCGGGCTGTGTTCCGGACCTGGTTAGGGCCAAGCTCAGGTATAACGTGTCACGCCCCGGACCTATCCGGACACGTCAACAACCCGCCGTACAATATGAATAGTCATCTTATACATTTAGAGAGGTTTATTATGTTCACACACATGTTTGGGATCAAGAAAGGGTCTTAACGTTGCAATACGGCGCGAAAAAGTCGACTTTGGGCTGCCCAGGAGGTACGCACGGCGTGCCTAGGAGGTACGCACGGCGTGCGTGTCTTATAACCTCAAAACGGAGCTACTGCCACCAACGCACGGACCAACGCACGGACAACGCACGTCCGTGCGTATAGCAATTTCTTCCCGGTTGCTACTGCCACCAACGCACAGACCAACGCACGGACAACGCACGGCCGTGCGTATAGCAATTTCTTCCCGGTTGCTACTGCCACCAACGCACGGACCAACGCACGGACAACGCACGGCCGTGCGTATGGTCCAGCCTGGTGTGCGTTGGCGGAAATCAGCCGTCTTTCGCCCGATTTCGCTCCGTTTGACCCCAAAGCTTCGTACAATGATCCCAACGACTAGCAACCTCAATTTATGGACTAATTAAGGATAAAAAACAAGTATACAAGAGGTACTACCTTCAACGGAATCCAGGTTAGCTTGAGCATCCGCCTCCGTCATCGCATAGACCCTAGCTTGGGTCCTTCCTTGGTTCACGGATGGCGCGTTGCTCGTGCTTGCTCCCCCATGTCCCCTGCTCCCTTGAGAAACCTCGGTTTGGTTTTCATTTCTTGTAGTTCCACCACTTGACCCCGAAGTTTGGTTTTGCACCATTTGTGGGCAACTCACTCTCGTGTGCCCGACCTCTGTGCATTGATAGCACCTGGGAGGGTCCTGACACTTACCCGAGTGGTGTTTCTTGCAATTGTTGCACTTAGGTACCCTCGGACCTTTTGACCTCGAGTTCGGGCCACCCAAGCCTCGACTCCACTCAAGTGATAGTGTCTGCGCCCTGAAGGTTTTGTCACCCTCAACGTTTTTCCTTCTTGAATGTCTTTGGGAATCGTTGTCTCCCCGCTTCCTTTTCCTTACTAATGGTATGCCCTCAGCTTGCCTAGCTTGGCGTTTTTGTATAAGCCTCACACGTTCACGTTGAAGCCAATCTATGACCATGCCCATTTGTTCAATGGGTGCACCATCAAGGTCCTCATCACTCAAATCATCTCCTTCGTCACCCGAAGCCTTGAGTGGTTCAGTTTTGCCATAACAAGGTGATTCTTCCTTGGTCTTAACATGACCACCACTCACGATTTGAGCTTCAAGAGTTTCGTGCACCTTTGGTCCTAAGGGCTTTTCTCGGTTGGCATGCCCGGTTCCACCCGGTGCAAACCCTTCCGAGTTCTCCCTATTCATAATACCACCATCACCCTCCATCGCTGAAAGAAATAATTAGAATCAGTCATTAGACTCGTTTCAAATGTCAACTGACAGATAGGCACTTAAGACATCTATTGGGCCAAGTCACCGCCATACCAATCGTTAAGGGCGCCATCTTAACAATTAGAGACCTTGCAACTCAAACACCAAAAGTTCTTAAGTACAAAACGTTTTTGCTCATGGTTTTCAAAAATCATTTTGAAAAGAGAATTTTGAGACTTCATTATGAAGTTTATGGACTAAGGGCTCTGATACCAACTTAATTGTCACGCCCCGGACCTATCCGGACACGTCAACAACCCGCCGTACAATATGAATAGTCAACCGCAGTCCAACACATTCATATTATACAAGGCGTCTTGAATATCATTCACACATGTACATCCATAAACAAACATAATAAGTAATTCATAACGCAGCGGAAACCATTGTTTAAAACAAAAGGGTCACACATGGCTATTCATGAGCACGCAGGCTCTATAGTAAAATATCCATGAGCATGTTTATTAATGTTTAAAAACAGAATGGAGGAAGCACGAACCAAGTCTTCCCTCCTATATGATCTCTCGAGCAACGAGCACAGGAAGCAAGCTCTAGCCTCAACCTGAAAAATGGTGGTGGGACGCCCCCGAAGGGGTCAGCACTCTATAGGGCTATAAAGTGCTGGTGTGGCAGGCATCTAATAGATATACAACAAGTATTTCACACACAAGACCCTCAAATAGGGTGATAATATAGTATAGGCCGTAATCTCAAATTACCCCTTTCAAAATATATACTTACTTTATATAAAGTCAAGTAGTCGGCTCAAAGGCCCATGTTTGTTATAAAACATTTTCCAAAACCCCGTGACTAATGGTCACGACATACGTAGGGTCCAACCCTAATACAACTTCTCATTTCTAGAGTTCGGCTCGAGTACATCATCATGCACTCGCATCATAGATCTCCTACTTCATATAATCATATCATAGATCTCCTACTTCATATAATCACACCATAGATCTCCTACTTCATAAAACCACACCATAGATCTCCTACTTCATAAAACCACACCATAGATCTCCTACTTCATAAAACCACACCATAGATCTCCTACTTCATAAAACCACACCATAGATCTCCTACTTCATAAAACCACACCATAGATCTCCTACTCCATGATTTCCCAATTGACACTTGAATCTCATTCAAGTTCATCACAAACAAACTCAACCTTTAAGTTTGGTTCTATCAACATTTAGAACAACCCTTAACTAGCATCACAATACTATTAAGATTATTCCTACAACTCATTTATCATTAATGGTAGCCCCTCCATATCAATAGATATGTGGCAGCCTCCCATGTGCTAAGCATCATCATGCAATCATACATTTACATACACATAACATTCATACATGAGTTGGAAGGTCAATTTACCATTTTAGCATACTTTTATCTCACATGACTCCATATTCATCAATATGGTTTCAATTTATGATCAAGTCCATTACTTATCATTCATATCATGTTCAAGCATATTTATTCACAAAAACATGATTTAAGCATTTAGGTAATCTCATGCATAACCTACAAGTTGTAAGCAACTAGATGTCGGTCCTCACCTCCAATGAGCTTTAAAACCTTTCCTTCTTGATCCAATGACCAAAGTCCCGGCCAAGGAAGTTTGAGAACTGATTCCTTGCTTGGAATTGAGTGTTAGACAGCCCCCTCAAAGTGCTAGTTCAACTCCTAACCGAAGACACAAAAACAGTCCCTAGAACGAGTGTTTCCCGATGAATTCGTTCCCTAACCTTTCAAGGTTTTGTGTAGGTTAGTATCTAACCTTTCTAACAATTAAAGTCACTTTATAATAACATTTCATACACTTCAATCAGTGTATAATAATTCTTCAATCATTTATGTGATTTAGACAATAGAGAGGAAGGTTTTGGATTCAAACTTACTTTGAATACAAAAACGTATTCCGCGAGGTTGTGTTTTGCTCGGACGATTTGGAAACCTTCCACTACTCCGATTGATGCAAACCAGACCTTCACGGATTCCTCGTCTTGAGAGCTTTCTGTGGGTATCTCGCACGCCTTATTTGGATGTGTATAACTCGAGATATGAAGCAAACAAGTAACCTTACGCACTGGAGAACGAACCTGCGGCAGCTTCCCCTTTCTCTTGCTTTCTTGGTTGTGTGGCTCTCTTCTTCTCCCTTATCCTTGGGAGTTCGAATGAGGGGCTTAAGGGAGTGTCCAAGACCCTTCAATAAGGGTGGATAAGTTGTGTGGAGTGAAATGAATTGGTATGGCCTCCATGAGATGTTTTTAGACATGGGTGGGTCTCACTTTTGATCTCTTTGTCATAAGATGTCTCTTTGTACTCATTCTAATTTATTTGGAACAAGTCAACCCTCTACATCATATTATTGATCTCCAATATGTGTATGATCATCCCAATAATTTACATGATGAATATTATAGAAGAAACACCCTACTCCCATTATTTAGCTCAATAATGCCAAAGATGGGGTTATAGGCATTTGTATTCTTCTTGAATCATTCTATCACTTATTTGACATTTGTCATACATATTATTGGGCTACTAGCCGTGTGGGTCACTCCCGAGTGGGTCTAGAACGCCATTCTTGAATACTTGCTATTTTTAGCAGGTTGGGCCCAAAATAACGTTTGGGCCGCCCGACCTTCCTCAATTTGTCTTGAAAGGTCAAATATTACTATTTAGAAAATGTTGGGCTCCTTTATCTATTAATAAGTCCCAAATAGTATCCGTGTGTCCGACACTAATATACGAGTTCGAAGAGTACAATATTCGATCATTAATTACGTAGAACATAAATCGTTTTACACTTGTTTGGGAACCGGAAATCCAATACATAAACTTTGAATATTTAAATCAAATCTCCAAGGACATTCGGGTGCGGTGTCACATAACGGGCCGATAGCATTGGATTCGGCCCATTATCCCAACACAACTCCCTCACCCCATTAGTCGAGTAGTAGACTTGGCTAAAAGGGAGTAGTTGAGTTGCTTTTAAATCGGCCCAACTACCGGCCTGACTGGCTAGTTGCATAGTTGACTGCTAATAGTGGCGATTCAAGGGTTTGCCCGAAAAAATTAGTCTTGTGGTTGTTCGCTATGGTTCCATTACTGATCAATAAAAATGAGATTTATCTCGTTTGGGTAGCGGTCCATGGTCTTGATTGTCCGATTAGCGACCTGGGGTCTTCATTGTTTATTATTCATATTGAGATGTAGGGCCCGTTTGGCTGATTTTGCAGATTTCTGGGGGAAATATATAAAACATATTTTATTAATAAAACAAAGAAACATTATATGAAAAATAGTTAAAATGATTCTCTACAATAACTTCAGCCAATACATCCAGAAAAGTAATTTCAACTTTACTTTTTCTTATTGTTACACAATTTAGTGCCTGAAATCAATCATTATGTGTTCGGTAAAAAAAAAAAGGTTGATACATCTGATAAGCCGAAAAGAAGGGTTACCAAATCGGGCTCGTACTCACCGTCTATTCGGTATTATACCACATCCATCCCATAAAACTTGATCAACTTTTCCTTTTTGGTCGTCCCAAAAAACTTTGATATAATTCCCTTTAAAGTAATAAATATGTGGCTATAGTTATTTCTTTGTCCTCTGACAAATATCAACCACAAAATATTTACTTTATTAATCTACGTGCAAATCATCATTGACCAAGTTTTATAGGACGGGGGAGTAAATGTCACTCCCTGTTACTGTCTAATGTAAAGGAAATATGGTTTTCACTGTTAAAATCATATTAAGAGCCCGTTTGGTAACACGAAAATCGGCTGAATCTGCTAAAATTTATGAAGTTATGGCTGAAGTGGCTGCATTGGCTGATTCTGTTGATTTAAGAAAAAATTATTTTTAAAATATATTTTATGAATAAAAATATATATGTAAAAATAGCCAGAATGGTAATCTACAGTAACTTCAGCCAATACAGCCATAAAAGTAACTCCAACCTTACTGTTTCTTATTGTTACACAATTTAGCGCGTTAAAACAAAAAAATTATGTGTTTGGTAAAAAAGTTGACTGATAAATCTGATAAGCAGAAAAACAGTGTTTCCAGATAGTATGCATATGTTTAGTAAAAGGTGGACTCATTTCAAAAACAAAAGGTTGACTAATAAGTTAAAAAACATGTGACCAATCGGGCCCAGATACTCGAATTCTCATGATTTTCATAATCGATATGAAGACATCCATAGACTCCGTTAATTTTAAATAATACTACTTCCGTCTCATTTTATGTGTCCTACTTTGACTTGACACAATTATTAATGAGGTGGTTGAAAAAGTAAAAGTTGTGGTTGAGATTTGAATATAATAAAGTGAAATGTTGTAGACCACACATTTCTTCTCAAAAGGGGAAATGAGATACTTATTTTGGAACAATCCAAAAAGGAAAGTAAGATATGTAAAATGGGACAGAGGGACTACTCAGTAACTCTTTCTAAATTCTATATTGGGGAGTGGGGACACTCATAAAATGGGGGTGTTTGGCAATTAGAAGTTAGCGGTTGGCTGTTGCTGATTGTTTTAGCTGATTGAAGACAACAGATTTTGTTGGCTATTTTGATTAGCTGATAGGATTAACTGTTTGTAAAGTAGTGTTTGGTTAAATGAGTGCTTACAATCGGCTGTTAACTTGTTAAATTACTTTTAAGGACATCGGTTATTTTCTTATTAATATACTCCCTCCGTCCCATTGGACTTTGCCAAATTTTTCTTTTTGGTTGTCCCAAAAAACTTTGTCACTTCCCTATTAAAACAACTAATTTGTGGTTTTGCACATACGTACATTTCTTTCTCCCCTGCACAAATTTCAACCACACAGTTTTTACTACATAGTATTATTATTCATCACCTACTTTGCACTTGGCAAAGTCCACCGGGACGGAAATAGTAATTAATACAACTAATTAAACCATTTTAATCATTTCAAAAATATAAAAATACTCTAACACAAGTAGTAATTATTTTAAACATGGTTTTTCATGAATTGATAGATTTAATTAGTGTGATGATATTTTGATTAATAAATGGAGTTATTATTAAAATTATACCAATAAGCTAATACCATTAATCATATGTATACATTTTTTTAATCATCAAAACGCTTTTCATTAAAATAGAGCAAACATGCAAGCCAAAATAAAATCCAAACAGCTATTACAGATCCGGTCGTAAGCCCTAGGAATAGACTTACAGTCAGCCACCCATACAAAGTAACCTGACTCGCTAGACACAAAACGGGCAAGAAGAAGCCTAAAACGACAGAAACTAAAGCACTGCCTATCAAAAGTTCTTCGAAAATCAAAATACTCCAACCATACCTGCTCGAACTGAAATAAAAATAAGTATTACCAAAGGAAAAATAATACGAAAATAAAAACTTTCCCCAAATTGCTTCCTTGCACGGAGGTGGTTCCGGAGGAGGGCGAGCTGCTGCAGTATGGTAGAAGATAATTTCAACCCCCAGAAAATTTGTCTGAAACCATGTCCTTCTTGCGCTCACCAATTTGCTCTCGCAAATTTGCTCCTTGAGATTTGCCATTGAAATCCATTCCCAAGGTGCAGGAGAAAATTCTATCATGTTGTCTTGTGTTACTTCGCCCCAACAGGAAAACTGCACGAAGCTCTCTTCCACGAAACTCCAAGCCACACGAACAAAGCTCGGTGGAACAAAAAACCCTAACTAGTGTAGATGAGACGGCCGCTCCTCGACAATATCGATAACGGAGAGGAAGCCCTAGCCGCGGCGAACCACCCTAGAGAGAGAAATATATGTGCATGCATACATGGGTTTTTTTAGAATTGTGCTTACATGGGTTAAGTAGAGATATATAGGCAATGAAAAATATATGTATACATGGGTTAAGTAGAGAAATATATGTGCATACATGAGTTAAGTAGAGAAACAGAGTCGGCCATAGTCAAGTGTAGGGTGTGCAATCGCACAAGGCCCTTAAAAAATGAAGGCCCAAAAATAATTAGTAGTATTAGTTTATATGTAGTAGTATATAATTATTACAAATCCAACCGCCCAAACTCACATCCCCACTACTAAGGATCACTCGGAAGTCAAAAGAGGGCATTAGACTTCACGTCTTGTCATTAGTGTCTCTTTGAAAAGTCAGAGTATTTCAACAGGTTAGGTTTTCTCATTAGCAATAAGTCTTTCCCTTTCTAGGCTAGGTTTTTATTTTGAAATTATAAAGTTTCCATCTAAATTATTTGTAGTTGAGTTAATAAATTCAAGGTTATTCAATTGTGAATTTTGCATTTGCATTGAACAAATTGATATCAAGTCATTAGGTAAATAAATACATTTGATTTCTCTTTGTTTTACAAAAAAAGGCCCAACTTTTTTTGCACAGGGTCCTAGATTGCTTGGGGCCGGCCCTGAGAGAAATGTATGTATACATGGGTTAAGTAGAGAAATATATGTAGAGAAATATATGTAACGAAATATATGTTCATGAAGCAGGAACAATTGAACAAATGTGGGGTTACGGTTGTCTTTCATTTCATTATTATATTACAAAAAAAGTAATCTATAAATTAGGAACTACTCATAATGGAAAGAAACAGTACGGGGGCAATTTTCAATTCAATCGATTTTGGGTCTGTTTGCAACAGCTTCTGTTTTTAAAAAAGTGCTTTTTTTTTAATGAAATGGGAGAAGTGATTAAATAAAAGTTGATAGTGTTTGAGAAAAAAGTGATTTTGAAAAGTAAAAGTGGGTAATGTTTGGTAAAATAAGTGTTTTTTGTGTAATAGAAAAGTAAAAGCACTTTTGACGCGGAAGTCGAGAAAAATAAAAGTTGTAGTGTTTGGGAAAATAAGTGTTTTTTAAAGCCAAAAACTGAGAAGTGCTTTTTTTAAAAGCAGTTGCAAACCAACCCTTTGTCTACCGAGTACGAGGCTCGTACGAATAATCAGAATAGTCGATTGTAAAAGCCAGAGAGATTGACGTTTTTCATATTTTAGTTGTTTGTTTTTTTTGTTTTTTTGTTTTTTGTTTTTTTTTTGGTAAAAATTTTAGTTGTTTGGTTAAAAAGTCATTTAACCAAACACCCTAATTAGTTGATTGATTGGTCAAAGGCTAAATACTAATCAAATTAGTCAAAAAAAGGTGACAGCTCTTAACCACGATGAAATAGAGGATGACACCCCATCCCCGAGGGCTCTCCAATAACGACCGGACAGCACGATGGGAAGATGTAAATTGGATTATAATCCGTAAATAAATTGGGCTCTGTCCCCGGTAAATTGGGCTCCTAAACCTCGTGCTTCGAGCATAACTGCTACGCCCAGACGGGTAACCACAGTGAAATAGGTCTTCGTTCAAGGTGGTTCCCTCCGAAAAATGGAGGAGAGAGAAGTGGCCAGTCTAAGAAGATTTCTTCGATGGGCAGCCGAGCAGGGGATCACGGACTCTCTCTCATCTACCACTCCATCGGACTCTTCTTTGGGTCACTCCCTCTTCGTCTCCCATTTTCCGGAAGCCGGAGGGTAATTCATATGCTCTTGTATATATTCATGTATACGCGTGTATATACCTGTATTCACATATGTATTTTTTCTTTTGATAATGCAGAAGAGGTTTGGCGGCAGCTCGTGACCTCTGCAAAGGGGAGTTGATTCTCAGAGTTCCAAAGACTGCTTTGATTACAACTGAAGTTTTGGCGAATAACGACCATTCTCTTTCTCTTGCTCTGCAAAGTCACACTTCTCTCTCTCCCACTCAGGTGTTTTTTATGGATCAAAGATGGGGTATTGTGTTATATATCACTACCTGTGAATTCTGAATGATGGCATAAGGTGTTTGTGATAATGTCTGAATTGGAATTTCAATTTCCTCGAATGCTTATGCCACGAACCTAGATAATTTAACTTTACTTCACTGGACAGCGAAGAAAAATATAAATGAATTATGATCAAGCAGTAAAGTTTTCTTTTTTATCAGATACTGGCCATTTCTTTGCTAAATGAAGTAAACAAAGGGAATAGCTCTCGGTGGTATACTTATTTAAAGCAATTACCACGCAGTTATGATATCCTTGCTGGTTTTCATCCTGTTGAAATACAGGCGTTGCAGGTATTTTTCAATGCTGTGATCTAAAATAGGTGTGGGGGGGAGATAAATAATGTTCGGTAAGTTATTGAAATTATGGCAAAATAATATTTATGTATTTTGTTTAGCGCCTCTGAAACGATTTGCAGGCTGATGATGCTATCTGGGCTGCTGAAAAAGCTGTGCAGAAGGCTAAGCTGGAACTTATGGAAGTTAGTGTTCTAATGCATGAATTGAAGCTTAAGCAACATCTAATGACACTTAAGGCATGGCTCTGGGCTTCTGCAACTGTAAGTATGTTAGCTCTGGCTACGTATGGGAGTAAAATAGGAGGGGATTTTGTTTATACTCTTCGTTGAGAAAGAAGAAAACATAAGTATCGAAGTAAAAGTTTTTTCCTCTTCTCATTTTCTATCTAAATATGAAAGAAATGAGAAATTCATGTGGAAAGGTTTACTTTTCATATCAAGTGCACTTTTTTAACGAAAAAATTGTCAAAATGGTACATGAAGTTGTTTCGACGGGAGTAAGTAGTACTTCATCTTGCATTTGAAATTTTAAAGTACTTGAACTTGTATTTTATAGTCGATCAAGTACATCTGCTATGTCAGAACGTTAAAAAAGCTAACCTGGTCAAACTATCGGTTTATTTTATACAGTTGCAGTCCAAGTCATCAAATAATTAATCTATCAACTCTATTTTTCTCCCGTCCACTCATTTTCACCTTCGCCCATTATCTTATATTTTTTTCGTCTGCTCTCCCTTCTCTCCACTCTACATCTTATATTTCTCCCATCTGCTCTCTTTGCTATCCCGCTGATAGAGATCCTTCAATTTTACACAAAATTATACCGGAAGATGACAAGAAACGATAGCAAATTTTATTATCGATGAACAAGAAATCTGGCCGAAGCCCCCCAAAAGAGAGAGAATGATCTCAATCTTCCCAAGTCCCAAAGACAAAGTCCAAAAACAGCCTGTTAAACCCTCCCCAGCTATCTTCTATTTATACTAAACTAATACACTTATTATTAATATTCTAATAGGCCCAGTCCCTTATTATTATTAGTCTATTAGGCCCAGGTTCCTATCAATACTCCCCCCTAAACATCCACCTTGCCCTCAAGGTGGGTGATAGGACACAACCACAATCTTCTTTTTTTCTTTCATCCTAGCACCTCTCCCTTTCCAATACTCGATGGATTTCTGGATCCTTAGCTTGGCTGCTTCCATCTTCTTCCCTATGCCTTTCAAAACAGAGTTACACCGCTGCAGCTTTTGCAACAGAGGGGACAACCACTTCATGCTTTTGAACACTTTCTCCTTCAATATCCTTTGATAATCCCTGATAGTTCAGCCATTTTCCTTCTCCATTCATATTTATCAGGCTTTTTATTTCCTTGTAAGCTCCCAGTTGACTTGATGAAAGATCTTCTTGTAAAATAACCTCCCATTTGAAGGTCTGACTTTGGAAATTAATCTCCGTGTCTCCCAAGCTTGTTAGCCAGTCCATTCCCAGGACTAAATCAGTGTTCCCCAGCTCTAGTAGATAATATGTTTGATGAATACCAATTCCTTGCACATTCAGATCTACACTTGCACACCTGCCACAGTTTGGAATACATTCTCCATTCCCTATCTGCACAGAGTATCCTTTTATCATATGGTATGGTAACTCACATTTTCTCACCAACTCTTGAGAAATGAAATTATGTGTTGCACCATTATCTATAAGGATTTCAACCTTCTGTTCTCTAGATTTCCACTTCAAAATTCCTTTCATCTTGAAGGTTTTCATGCTTGGAACCTCCACCTTACTCATTGAGGATAATTGCATATTCTACATTCCATTTCAATTTCCTCTTCCTCCTTGGTATTCTTCTTGACAGATTCAACTTCTTCTCCTTCAGAATTTTCCACAAGAACAAATTTGTAATGTTTCACTTTGCAGATATGTCCTCGGTTCCAACTTTCCCCACACTTGAAACATAATCCCTTCCTACTCATCTCCTGCAGTTCATGTTGTGTTAGTCTGGGACTTATCTTCTTTTGAACATAATTGGCTGATTCCTCCTCCTTATCCATTGGCTTAATTTCATTGATGATCTTGCCAGAACTTGTAGTAATAGGACTATTCCTCCATCTACTGCTATCTCCCCCATGTTGAAGATGACCTTCATTCCCTGCTTTTCCTGGCCACCTCTTCTTGCCTTCATCTTTATTCTTCTTGATCAGGACTTCATTATTCTTGTTTTCAATCAAAGAGGCTGTGTCCATGACCTTAGCTTCAATTCAGCCCTTATGTCACGTTTAAGCCCCTTCAGAAATACTCCCTTCAATACTTGCTCACTTAGATGCTTTTGGGAAGCAATAACTACTTCAAATTGATCTCTGAATTCCCTTACTGATCCTCTTTGCTTCAAACAAAGCAGAGGTCCCAAAGGATCTTGTATGGAATCTGGTTGGAAACGTTTAAGCAGGGCTTCCTTGAAAATCTCCCAGTTTTTCTCTAGCGCTTGGTTCTCCCACCACCGGAACCAACTGAGCGCTTGATTCTCCATAGCAATAATAGCGACATCAATTTTATCTTCTTCCTCGGTATTATTCAAGCGAAAGTAACGATCCATTCTAACCAGCCATCCAGAAGCATCTTCTCCATTAAAAATAGGTAAGTCGATCCTTCTACCTGCTTGATGATGATGACTTTCCCTGTGATGATGGCACTGTTGATGTCGACGTGGAGGAGAATAGTCGGAATTGTTTTCTGATCCCTCTGAACTCGCTGATTGTCGCGAACGATGATGCTGAGGTGAACGATGATGGTGAGGCGAATGGCGATGATAAGAAGTGTGCTGCGATGCAGATGTGTGATGCGATGCAGATGATCGATGTGATGCAGATGAGCGATGCGATCTACTTCTCGATCGTTCTTGATCTTTCGCATCCAATCTGGCCATAATCGCTGTCAACATTTCCGTAGTCTGTTGCTGATTCCGATCCACCTTCTCGTTCAATCGGTTTTGGTTATTTTCCAACTCAGTCATCCGCAAATCCATCTTCGTCCGCGTCCAGACCATCCACAGAATGTAATGCTCTGATACCAATGATAGAGATCCTTCAATTTTACACAAAATTATACAGGAAGGTGACAAGAAACGATAGCAAATTTTATTATTGATGAACAAGAAATCTGGCCGAAGCCCCCCAAAAGAGAGAGAATGATCTCAATCTTCCCAAGTCCCAAAGACAGAGTCCAAAAACAGCCTGCTAAACCCTCCCCAGCTATCTTCTATTTATACTAAACTAATACACTTGTTATTATTAATATTCTAATAGGCCCGGTCCCTTATTATTATTATTAATATTATTATTAGTCTATTAGGCCCATGTTCCTATCACCGGACGGCTTCTTTTTGTTCTATTTTATTTTCTTCTTCTCTTACTACTATAATAAAGATGGACCGATAGCGAATAAAAGAAGCAGGCAGGATAGTCGTGAGAGCTGCCGAGAGAGGAGAGCAGCAGTGACAAAGCTAAATGGGGGTCAACATATGTCCTGCTTCACCCCAAATTTAAAAAATGCTTTAATTTTAAAGTAAAATTTTTTGTAATTTTTTCCCAAAAATATTCTTTATGTTTGTCCAGTCCGGCCTAGTGCCGTAGCTCCACCCTTGGAGAGCAGATGAGAGAAATATAATATAAAGAGCGGGGAGAATGGAGAGCAAACATGAGAAATATAAGATTAAGAGTGAAGGTGGAAACGAGTGGACCAGAGAAAATTAGAGTTTATAGATTAATTATTTGATGACTTGGACTGCAAAGATATATTACAAATTGATAGTTTGGCCAGATCAGCTATTTTAATGTTTTAACAGAGCAATGTACTTAATAGACTTCAAATGTGCAAGTTCAAGTACTTTGTAGTTTCAAGTGTATGATGGAGTACTAAACAACTTTATGTATCCTTTTGGCCATTTTATCCCTTTTTAACCTCATAATGAAATCTTTGTTGACTTTTCCTCCAAAATTAACAATTCTAATACTACAGTAATGAAAAGTGTTTTTCATTCTTTGATCTCCGACCTTAATGTCCTCTTTTCGGATCACATGAGAGGAAACAATGAAGGCAAAAAAATGTTTTCTTTGCATATTTTCTATTCTGAAGGAGGAGAGTTCCCAAAATATTACAAGGGTAGTTGTTTCAATTTATCAACAGTCAACTACGATGCAAGTATTACCCTCTTGCTATACATATTTCTCTGCATGCTAAGAGTGAACATTTGCATGCCGTGTTTGAAGATATCATCCCGTACAATGCACATTCCTTGGGATAGTGCTGGTTGTTTATGCCCCGTTGGAGATTTTTTCAATTACGATGCACCTGGAAGTCATGGAGTAGAAAACTCTGAAGATCTCTTTAATGGCTCCGATGAGCACTCAATGACTACTGTTACACGGCTAATTGATGCTGAATATGAAGAAGATCTCACTGCCTATTGCTTCTATGCTAGAAGAAACTACAGAAAAGGGGAACAGGTGCCCACACTTGTACAGTTTTACTTCCTCTAAACTCCCTTCTTGATAGAGAAGTTTTATAATTGAATGCATAATGTTTATTTATTAGTCTTCCCAATATTTCCCATATTAAATTTTGGAATCTTATCAATCAAGGACTTGAAAGATAGGTTAACTATCTATTCAGGAATTGAAAGATGAAAATTGTTGGCCGGAATGATTGAAGACTATTAACCGAGTAACAACATTCAAGCCTTATTCCCAAAAGATTTTGTGGTCCATTAACATAAATCGATCTATGATATCAGAGCCAATAAGAGAAGAAAGATAAGAAGAATAAAAAGAGAAATTTTTTCTGGTGTATTCAACGCAACATACACAGCTCTGCCACACTCATCTTTTGAAAGCTGGAATGAAGAATGTGGAAGAAAAAAAAGCTTCTAAAATCAATTTCAGATATTTCTTTAAACTCCTTTAACTTATATACTTCATGGTATGAAAACTAATAAATCTAAATATATGTACAGTTGTATGAATATGAATCAAATTTAATTCTAAGTTAGTATTTTGCAACGTTAAATCTAATAACAAAATCACTTTCATTAGCATTTTTTTGTTTCCCTACAATTGGTCCTTGACATAAATTGAGGATCTATGCTATTGTGTATTGATGTATGCTAACGTTACTGCAGATTCTTCTAAGCTACGGAACCTACACGAACTTGGAGCTTCTAGAACATTACGGCTTTCTATTGACGGACAATCCCAATGACAAAGCATTCATTCCATTGGAACCAAACATGTGCCAACTGTGTTCCTGGTCTAGTGATTTGATCCACATTGGCAAAGAAGGGAACCCATCATTTGCCTTACTATCCACCCTACGGCTATGGGCGACCCCGCAAGACATGCGGAAGTCCATCAAGCAATATGTGTATTCGGGAAATCAACTCTCTCCCGAAAATGAAGTTTCTGTTATGGAATGGGTTATGCACAAGTGTGTAGTTTTGTTGGGAAACCTTCCTACGTCACTGGAAAGTGACAAGAACTTGCTCCGCTTTGTTGAGAACATTCTAGAATATTGTAAAATGGAGAGTGGAGAAATGCCACAAGAGTTTATAAATTTCTTAGAGAGGAAGAATTTGATTGGAGAAAAAGCTTGTCTAATTACTAGCTTAGCTAAAACGAGGTCTTTTGAGAGATGGAAGCTAGCTATTAAGTGGAGATTGCACTTTAAGGCAATGTTACATAAGTGCATTGAATATTGTACAAAGACACGAGATAAAATTTTTTCTCAAAATAATTGAACTTGTCTCTAGTTTGTAGCGTGCAGTATCATGTAATGTAATCAATTGTGCACTTTGTTTCGCTTCAACCCATTGTGTTAATCCAAGTATCCAACTCGTTAGAGCAGCAGCCATGAGTAGGGGTGGGATCGGGATGATCCCGATTAGGGCTGGACTGAACCGGGCCGGTTCGGGCCTCGGGCCAGGGCCCGGCCGGGCCTCGGTTCAGAAATATGAGGCCCGAGCCCGAACCGGGGGTGGGCGGTTCCAGGTCCGGTTCCGGGCCGGACCGGGCTGGGCCGGGCCGGTTCACCTGGGTATTTAATTTTTTTTTTTTTTGGCTTCTTTTATTTAATCCCTAACCCTCCCCCTCAACCCCAAACCACCCCAAACCACCTCAAATGGCCCAAAATACCTAATCCAACCTGAAACTTAAAAAATTTTCAAAAAAAAAAAAAAAAAATTAATTCCGGCCCGGACCGGGCCGGACCGGCCAGGCCGGTTCACCAAATGGAGGGCCCGGTCCCGGAACCGGTATCCACCGGGCCGGTTCGACCCGAACCGCTGGTGGACCGGGCCACCGGGCCGGGCCGGTCGCTACAGTGGGCGGGCCGGGTCAGTTCCGGGTTGGGTCGCCCGGCCCGAGTCCAGCCCTAATCCCGATTGCCCAAATCCCGATCCCGTCCCGATCCCGATTCAAACTAAAAGAGGATCTCGTATCCCGTCCCGATTAAGTCGGGATCCCGACATTAAAATCCCGATTAAGTCGGGATCCCGATCGGGAATCCCGCTAAATCCCGACAATGAAGTATCAAACATAAAATTATGTAATTTCTTAAGTTAAACACTAACTTTGATATTTAGTGGTTTCAATAATATTCTTTGTTTACTATTATACCATATTTATCATCATCTACTTATAAAAGTTATTGTAATAATTATCATCTCAAACTCACACTAGTATATACTTCTAGAATAATTTTTATGTGTAACTTCAATTAATTAATAGTATAATTTTTGAATAAGCTATCAAGGCTTAGTGAAACTTACTTCAAACAATATATAAAAAACACTAAAAGAAGGATATGTAACGTATATTATTTAAAATTCAAAACTAAGTAGACTCATTGAGAAACTTTGTGACCAATGAATATAATATGTAAATACATATTATGATTATCTACTAAAGAAAGAAATCTTAGTCTCGATCATAATTTTTTAAAGAGTTCATCAGAACCGCAAAATTTGTAATATTGTATGTTGTGATTTAGATTGTTGGGATCAAGAATAATCTCTACTTAGTTAGGATCCTGAATATTCATTTTCGGACAAATGCCGAATAGTTTTAGAAGTTTGATATTGTAAGATACTCGTAGTAAAAGATTAATCTATGTAAGGAATAAGAAGCTGTTCCGTTCACCTGATCTGAATGTTTCTGATCTGAATTTTTTAAGTTCTGATCTGATCTGATCTGAATTTTTCTGATCTGATCTGATCTGATCTAATCTGAATCTTTCTGATCTGATCTGATCTGAATCTTTCTGATCTGATCTGAATCTTTCTGATCTGAATGTTGCTGAACTGATCTGAATTTTGCTGATCTGATCTGATCTGATCTGAATGTTTCTGATCTGATCTGAAAGTTTCTGATCTGATCTGAATTCTTTTGATCTGAATCTTTCTGATCTGATTTGAATATTTCTATAATTGTAATTATAATTATAATTATTAGATTTATAATTGTAATTAAAAATATAACTTAAATAAAATTACAATTATAATCATAATTATAAAAAATAATAATTAAAATTAAATTTAAAATTATAATAATTATACTAATTACACTAATTATAAGTACAGATACAATTATATTATATTATATTATATTATATTATATTATATTATATTATATTATATTATATTATATTATATTATATTATATTATATTATATTATATTATATTATATTATATTATATTATATTATATTGTATTGTATTGTATTGTATTGTATTGTATTGTATTGTATTGTATTGTATTGTATTGTATTGTATTGTATTGTATTGTATTGTATTGTATTGTATTGTATTGTATTGTATTGTATTGTATTGTATTGTATTGTATTGTATTGTATTGTATTGTATTGTATTGTATTGTATTGTATTGTATTGTATTGTATTGTATTGTATTGTATTGTATTGTATTGTATTGTATTGTATTGTATTGTATTGTATTGTATTGTATTGTATTGTATTGTATTGTATTGTATTGTATTGTATTGTATTGTATTGTATTGTATTGTATTGTATTGTATTGTATTGTATTGTATTGTATTGTATTGTATTGTATTGTATTGTATTGTATTGTATTGTATTGTATTGTATTGTATTGTATTGTATTGTATTGTATTGTATTGTATTGTATTGTATTGTATTATAATGTATTCTATTGTATTCTATTGTATTCTATTGTATTCTATTGTATTCTATTGTATTATATTGTATTATATTGTATTATATTGTATTATATTGTATTATATTGTATTATATTGTATTATATTATATTATATTATATTATATTATATTATATTATATTATATTATATTATATTATATTATATTATATTATATTATATTATATTATATTATATTATATTATATTGTATTGTATTGTATTGTATTGTATTGTATTGTATTGTATTGTATTGTATTGTATTGTATTGTATTGTATTGTATTGTATTGTATTGTATTGTATTGTATTGTATTGTATTGTATTGTATTGTATTGTATTGTATTGTATTGTATTGTATTGTATTGTATTGTATTGTATTGTATTGTATTGTATTGTATTGTATTGTATTGTATTGTATTGTATTGTATTGTATTGTATTGTATTGTATTGTATTGTATTGTATTGTATTGTATTGTATTGTATTGTATTGTATTGTATTGTATTGTATTGTAATGTATTCTATTGTATTCTATTGTATTCTATTGTATTCTATTGTATTATATTGTATTATATTGTATTATATTGTATTATATTGTATTATATTATATTATATTATATTATATTATATTATATTATATTATATTATATTATATTATATTATATTATATTATATTATATTATATTATATTATATTATATTATATTATATTATATTATATTATATTATATTATATTATATTATATTATATTATATTATATTATATTATATTATATTATATTATATTATATTATATTATATTATATTATATTATATTATATTATATTATATTATATTATATTATATTATATTATATTATATTATATTATATATATTATATTATATTATATTATATTATATTATATTATAATAATAATTTTATATTATTAACATTATTATTATTATTATATTATTAATAATATTATTATATTAATATATTAATATTATTAACAATAATTATAATATAATAATCATAATTAATATATTAATAAAAGTGATAAATCATGTTTGAATTTTTTGATCTGATCTGATCTGATCTGAATGTTTCTGATCTGGTCTGATCTGGTCTGAATCTGGTCTGAATCTTTCTGATCTGATCTGAATGTTGCTGATCCGATCTGAATCTTTCTGATCTGATCTGAATGTTTCTGATCTGATCTGATCTGATCTGAATCTTTCTGATCTGATCTGATCTGATCTGAATAAAATAAGATTAAGAAATAAGTAATAAGATTAAGACGAACGGAACAGCTTCTAAGTAATTAAAAAAGATGTGCAAATATTTAGATACATATTTATTTTTTATATATTCATCTATAATTATATACATGTGTATATATATAGGGAGTGGTTCCAATGAGAACACTCCTTATTGTGAGAAATAAGAACAAATTTTAGCCTTACATCTTAATAAATTAAAGGCCATTAAAGGATGAGATGCATGGATGTATAGTGGGAGTGCAAACATTTTAAAATTACTCTTGAACACTAATCTATACGTAGGTTTTCATGAAGGGCACTACAGTAATTTTAAAAAAAATCTTTAATGTGCTACGGATGGGAGGATTCCACTTACCTAAAATGTAGGTAGAAATAAAAATTCAAATTATACAAAATGTTTTTAGATTAAAATTGATTTAACTTTTGAAATTATAATATAATTTTAGCAAAAATTATATCAAATTAAATAATTTTTTATGATCTTTCATATGAGACCAATAATGCATATACAATTTTTTTAAAAAAAATTACTATCGTAATATGTATACTATGAACCACAACAAGCGTCTTCAGCTGCTGCGCACAAGAACATGTATCTAATACACAAACACAAATATCTAACGCACAAGTACAGTCCAACACACAATATGTATAACAAAGCATTAGAATGTGTATCTTAAGCACAAAACCCAACAATCAATGCACAACAAGTAAGAACTAAGTAATATTTTAACCCGTAAGAGCCTTTTAAAACTTAAATTAGTATATAACACACAAGAATCAATACATGTATTTATTGTGCGTTAAATACAAGTTCTTGTGAGGTAGAAAAAGATGTTTGTATTTATTTATTGTATACATAAATGTTGATCTGTAATGCACATGAAGCAGTATTTATCTCACATTTTGTATATAACATAAAAAACGAAAATATAACTAAGATATGGTGAATAATAATTAAGAAGAGAGATATTGCATAAGAATATTCCTTCTACAAATTAAATAAAAGAATGGTATTACCCACTAACGATATTTCCTTTGTAACTTGCAAAAATTTCTATGTAGGAACAAGTCAACCCACGTTAGACATATCATACCATTTAATGTTTCCAACTTTCCATAACTAAACCACCAAAACGTATTAATTATATGATCGGTTACTTAAATTGCCAACAAGTATAAGACATAACTACCCTCTATACCCTTTACTTGATCGCATCTGGACATGTATTTTGGATGGTTGAGATTTGTTCTCACTTCTTACGTTAAGAGATGTTCTCATTTGAACCAAAATCATATATATATATATATACAATTATATATATATATATATATAGACAACTTTTCATGTCCAGCCGGCCTGACGGGAACCGCCGTCCGGCCGAGGGCATTTCGGGCACTTCCCGGTGGAATTTTTTGATGAAATTTTTTGAGCATGTTCTTCATGAAGTCTAGTTTATCCATACCAAATTTCAGCTAAAAATGCAATCGGGAAGGCACTCAAATAATTTCTTGAAGTTAACTGGGCAGTTCATACATATAAACTGCCCAGTTAACTTCACAAAATTATTTGAATGCCTTCCCGATCGAATTTTTAGCTGAAATTTGGTATGGATAAACTAGACTTCATGAAGAACATGGTCAAAAAATTTCATCAAAAAATGCCATCGGGAAGTGCCCGAAATGCCCTCGGCCGGACGGCGGTTCCCGTCAGGCCGGCTGGACAAGAAGACTACTCTCTCTCTCTCTCTCTCTCTCTCTCTATATATATATATATATATATATATATATATATATATATATATATATAGGGAGCAGTTCCAATAAGAACCATGCTTAACGTGAGAACGTGAGAACCATGCACTTTTAACACATCTCGGTGCACTATGAGGCTCACCTATTGCACTTTTTAAACTCGGGTCAAAACGTGCCAACTTTATATAAGTGTGGAGACAAATTTGTAATTATTTCGTTAACACGAAAATGTGCAAGAAATAATCGATATAGTGCATCACAATTGCTTAAAAGTGGAGTTCTCACGTTCTCACGTTAAGCAAGGTTCTCATTTGATCCAAAATCTATATATATATATATATATATATATATAATGTCGGGATGTCGGGATTTTCCCGATCCCGACTTTTTTTAAGAAAAAATCCCGGTCCCGTCCCGACTTAGTCGGGATCGGGAGTCGGGAGATTTTTCCCAGCCCTAGCCTTAAGTCCAATTAAGAGGAATGGAACAAAAGTTTGAATCCCTCGAGGGCGAACCCTTCATTTTCATTGACAAAAATCATGGTCCGGAGTGTCCGGTTCGGCGGTTTCTCAAGGATGCGATCTTTTTGTCCCGCACTGAATTTAAACGGGACAGCCGTGAGTGGCCCCATTCGGTCCCGTATGAATGATTATGATTGGTTTACCATTTGCAAAATAAGTTGGATAATAGTATCACTTTTTTTACATGACCGCAATTAATTGAAAAAACAATACCTAGCATAATTATAACCTAATTTAGGTTTTTCTCTCGTTTATATATTTGTATCTGAGTTTGTCACAATGCTTTTTGTTTTCTTTTAGATTGACTTTTTTCAGATTAGTCTTCTTATTCCTAAGCTTCATGATCACTTAATAGCTTTTAGTTTTTTGAGGGAGTTTTCCCTAAATATTAGGGAGTACTACCTACTAAACTAAGCCAATTTTCAAAAATGCAACTACTTGTGAATATTGACAAAAAACGTGATTAACAAGGTCATATATCTTGTACCGGGCCTCCCAGACCCAAATCTTGGGAGCCCAAATCCACATTTTCCTTATAAATAGCCCCCTAGGGGTTGAGAAATATTAATTGGGAGTCCAAATCCACATCTAGCTTTCGCTTCTCTCTAGATTAATACTCTATCAAGTAGAAAAATGTACCGATTTTTTCTGATGTAATGTTCCTACAAGCGAAAAATTTGCACCTATTACTCTCGGACCATAGCTTCTAGTACTTCATCTTCTTCTTTCATCTTACTGATTGAGCCAAAACTTCAATATTTCTCTGCTCTAGATATTCTTCCATTGATGCCAACGTTATCTGACCCCGATGAAGCCATGTGCCTTCCTTGATCGTCCAGGGATGGAGCCACAAGTAAGGATGTGGTGTCAATTGACACCACTCATATGTTGTTATATAAAGAGAGGTAAATTTCCTAAAAACTAATTTGACACCCCCAACATAAATGAAATGTTGTCAATTAAAACTACTAAAAAAAATCCAGTTATATATAAAGGTATTTTATTCTAAGAAATAATTTAAAATGACCTCGATAAATGGAGTGAGGGTCAAAGTATAAATACATGAAATAATTAGATATTTATCAATAATTAGATAAAAAGTGATGTCTTATGTGTAGTAACCATGACACTATACCACAGTAACTTTTAGTGATGTTTTTGTAAATAAGTTTATTTAAGAAATATTTTTGAAAGTCAAATATAGACATAGTATATATAATACAGAGCGATTATATTTTGACATCAAACTGGGCCATTATACCTATAAAAGCATCATATTTGACCATCGCATAAGTTGTATTTAACGGCATGTAGTAGGGAGTATCGTGTAAAGTTATTTTCTTTGTTTTAAAACCTGAAAACTGATTCGAAAATTGTGGAAGACGTGTAATTATCTATAAATTTATTTTTAATATCGTATTATAGATGTAGTGTTTAGTTTAAAAAGTTGACGCCACTCAAATGAATTGTTGGCTCCTTCCCTGCCCGTTTTACTTATTCATGGGGGGGTTTAAGGCTTGAAAGCTTGATGTGTTTAGATCAGACATTTCAAATACACCAAGTTTGGAGATTTGAGAACACATCTAAGAACCGATGTGCTGCTCTTTACAATTATTGGAATTTTCCATGGCAACCGAATTATTAATCATCATATTTCTGTTATGATTACCATCTATAATTTTCTTGGATGTTTAAAAGTTAGGCAAAGCATAGTTCCAACTGGCTTGCTATAATAGAGTATCACTAAATTCATCAATGTTTTTCACCGTTAACATTCATTTACGTGCTTACGTTGTAGAATGGATTACTCCATAATGGATTCTACAGTAATTAGGTAGTCGAAATATAGCTCAGCTGGAATGAAATTCAACGAGTACAGAGATTAGAGAGAAAATGAAATTGGTTTGCAGATATTATTGAATATTCATATACCCGTTCATTACCGCTTACATGTAGGTTTGGTTGCAACTGATAAACCTTAAATGTTAACAGAATCTTTCAAGTGGCACATTAGCTAACTAACTCTGCTGACATTACCAAATGAGTCATCATTACTCCCTCCCTTAGCATCTTTGTCCTCAAAGATGTAACTGAAGAAAATGTTGGGTGAATTCATGTGCAAACATCCAAGTGGCCTCTTCTACAGGAAATCATTCTCTGCTTCTCCTTTTTTCACCAACTTTCTTTGCAAAATTTCATTTGGTTCTTGAGGTACACTAGAATCACGGAAAATTGCAAGTATTTCAACAACCCTCGATGGAAAAAAGGTGAGAATTTGTTGGTAGTGAAAGCTTGTAAGCCACCTTGCTGATTGTAGTACTTAGGTGCCAGTCTACTCTTTGATATACTCCTTTCGATCTATTTTTGTTAGCTTGCTGCTTCATTCTCTTCTGAGCCCTTTGCCATTGAAATACCAACTCTTTTATCATTTCTTCCCTTTGGCTCAAGCTTCTGCTAATTACAGTTTTTTTACTCTCCTTATATGGCAAGTGTAAAGGTGGAGATCTTCCATATAGTATTTCATGAGCTACGATTTTGATAGCGGAATGAAAGTAGGTAATATACCACGATTCAGCTAGTCTTAAACATGTGCTTCAAGAAATAGGGTGAGAGTTGCACATGCACATTAGGTAGAATTCCAAACAAGTGTCAAGTACTTGAGTTTGACTACTAGGGACAGATCCAGGATTTCGAGTCAAGGAGGGCGAATTTTTTTTCATTAATGTAGGGAGTGAAAAAATCTCGCTAGTAAGCGGAACGGAAAAAAATCACTAGTGTAGTGGGGCGAATTTTTTTTCCCTAGTGTAGGGCTCTGCGGCTAGTGTAGCGGGGCGAATTTAAAAAGTTCCATTAGTATATACTACATACACGATGACAATTATATCTAATATATTCTCATTCTAATTTTAGACAATGAAAAGATAATTTTGATTTAATAACTATAAATGCGCCAGAAAAAAGTATTGATAAATTAAAGTTTAAGAAATCACAAATTAAAGGAAAATTATTTGAAAATAAGAAAGGATATATAACATTTTATGATATTATTTGAAGGTAAAGTGGTTAAAGTTAAAGGTACACATCAACCAATGCTTTTTAAGTAACTTATGTCTTGTTTGACCACATGAATCTTAACAGGATAAAGAATTGGTTTTTGAATTAAGATTTTTGTCTATCAAGGAGGGTATTTGTGGGTCACGATGAGTTTTTTTAATATTACGGTAGTATGTATGAGATTATTATACTTAGAATAATATGATACATAGTAATGTTAATTCATATATATGGTGCATGCATATTATATTTGTATTAATGCTTAAATAAGTTAAAGTATTATCTATTCAACAAATTGTTTTTAGAAAGTAAGAGGTAAGCGAAGTGTGTAATTTAATGTCAACAAACATTTATACTTTTTAACTACTGTATCTGATATTCAATATTTTTTGATATCTTACAAAATCGAGTACTAATTACCTAATAAAGATAATTTTTTTTGAGAAAATCTAATAAAGATAATTAAACCTTACAAAACTAAGAATTTTTAGGTACCCTAAGTCTTAAACAATGAGTTCTTTTATTATTTGTTTATGTTATGTCAATTATTTTAGATTCTACTTCTTTTAAATCTCCAATTAAGCATTGCATTATGTGAACCTATTTATTAATTTTGAAAACTAAAAGTTAAAGGGGGCGAAAACATATTTACCTAATTAAAGTATGAAAATTTTATGAAAATATTATATATATAGTTAAAAATTTTGGAAGTCCAAGGGAGGCGGTCGCCCCCGCGCCCCCCCTTGGATCCGTCCGTGTTGACTACCCCTTTATGGATGATATGCAGTACAATTTAAGACCCCGAGTCCTTGTAGCCTAAATAGCTGACGTGCACTTGTCGTGATGTGCACTCAAAATAATAATCAATACGACACTAATACGTAGTATAGTGTAGTAAGGTTCGTATCCACAGGGAAAGGAATTCTTTTCTTCTTACAAGAATAAATAAGTAACAATAAGGGGGGTTTATATTTGGTTGATGAACTTTAAATTATATTTAAACACGAAGCTGAACGAGTTATGTGATTTAATTAATGAGAAGAAGACTTGACTTTGCTTTTATCCACTTAATAAAATGTTCGTCGATCCCGGTTATATCTTTAACTATCTTCCTCTCGAATACTCAATCGAGGAGTATATCCAATTCATCGAGGGTAGTTATTAATAACGAGACGCGTTCATTAATAAAACTTACTACCGAATTAATATAGGACACGCGCCGTATATTTACTTGATAGTAGCAATAAAATCAAGATGAAAACGATTGAGATTGATAACCTCAACACAAGCGGTTTATTGGTTTAATCAATATAATTAATTTCCCCTGGCTTATTAACCATGAGACGCATGCATGGTGTACAATTTCCCTTGGCCTATACCCAAGTTTACTACCGTGAAAGGACCGAATTAATAACAAGCGTATTAATCGACCGATTCTAGTATTAATTAATATATGAAACAAAACTAGTTGATCCTTTAAGTATTGTGATATTCGTGTAATTTCCGAGTGTATGTTTGTATTTTTAACTAGTTTTTATTAGTTCTAGTTGTGGAAATTACACACTTTTGGTGTAATACTTTATTTTCATTTTTATTTGTAATTTAGTTAGATTAGGATTTTTCTGAGCTAAACAGGTCAAAGATCATCGAAGGGATCAAGATTGGACCTTAAAAGATCAAGGAAAGTGCAAGGAGACAAGAAAGATTTCGATTTGGAAAAAATACTCATGTACCCGGTCGGGTATTGCCTATACCCGATCGGGTAATTTCTTGATTCGACTGTCCAAATCAAATCCGAAGACAAATGATCGTGGGAGCAAATTTTCATAAAGATTTGTCACATACCCGATCGGGTATATACCCTTACCCGATCGGGTATGCCCAGAAAAATGACTTTCTGGGCAATTTCCTGAGATACCCGGTCGGGTATCCTATATATCCGGTCGGGTATCAGACCCTGCAGCTCCCAAAAGCCTATAAATACACCCCTTTCCTTCACAATAAAATCACCAATTCACATATACTCTTTAGCTCAGTTTAGATTAGTGTTTTCTTTATATTTTCTATCATGTTTAGTCTCCAAATGAGGAGCTAAACTCTTCCATCTTGGTTTTGCTACTTTGAAGCTTAATGAATTTGTAAGTTGTGAGTTATTCTCTTTAATCTTCTTCCTTGAATATTAATTCTTCCTTTAAATACTATTTCTATATCAATGTTGGGGAGTGTTACTAAGATGACAATTAGTTAACATCTTGACATTAGTTATAGTAATAGTTATTTCTTCCTCTACGTTAATATCGGGGAGTGTTACTAAGATGACAATTAGTTAACATCTTGATATTTAACTATAGTAGGATTCATCTTCTTTAATATTCTTTCTTGAGTATTAATTAATTCCTATTCATATTTCATATTAATATTTTGAACATTACTTAAAGGATCAACTAGTTTTGTTTCATATATTAATTAATACTAGAATCGGTCGATTAATACGCTTGTTATTAATTCGGTCCTTTCACGGTAGTAAACTTGGATTATTAATGCACGCATCTCATGGTTAATAAGCCAAGGGGAATTAATTATATTGATTAGACCGATAAAGCGCTTGTGTTGAGGTTATCAATCTCAATCGTTTTCATCTTGATTTTATTGCTACTATCGAGTAAATATACGGCGCGTGTTCTATATTAACTCGGTAGTAAGTTTTATTAATGAACGCGTCTCGTTATTAATAACTACCCTCGATGAATTGGATATACTCCTCGATTGAGTATTCGAGAGGAAGATAGTTAAAGATATAACCGGGATCGACGAACATTTCATTAAGTGGATAAAAGCAAAGCCAAGTCTCCTTCTTATTAATTAAACCACATAACTCGTTCATCTTCGTGTTTAATTTATTAAACCAAATCAAACTAAAACCCCCCATTTTGTTACCAGTTCTATAAAAAGAAAAGTAATCCTTTCCCTGTGGATACGAACCTTACTTCGTTATACTACGTATAATTGTTGTATTGTATTATTATTTTGAGTGCACACCACGACAAAGTGCACGTCAAATTTGGCGTCGTTGCCGGGGAAAGGCAATTATTTTTCTTTTTATTTTATTTCAAGAAAAATCAAAAAAAAATTAATTAAATAAAAATAAAACCGAATCACCAATCTATAAACCAATTGGTGATAACTTGGTATAACCGATCTCTTGAAAAATATAAAGAATTCTTATTTTCTATTTCTGAGCTTTGTTTGAGTATATGGTTAAACACCGATCTATAAACCAAATCACCTACCAAACAAATCACGAAACGGAACAAGCCTTCGAGAGGTTTAGGAATTTATTTCCGAATACTTCTTCGGAGGAATCATCAAGTGCTAGCTCCAACTCTAGCGAATCTGAAGAGCCAATCACTATGGCTCAAGAGACAAGAACATTGAGGGAGCTCACAGCTCCGAACTTGAATCAACAACCATAATGTATTACCTTCCCTACTCTTGATGAGGGTAATACGTTTGAGCTAAAATCTGGGCTCATTCATCTGCTACCGTCCTTCCATGGCCTAAGAGGGGAGGATCCGAACAAACACCTCTCAGAGTTTCACATCGTTTGCACAAGCATGTGTCCAAACGGTGTGACTGAAGAACAAATCAAACTAAGGGCCTTTCCATTCTCTTTGAAGGACACCGCGAAGGATTGGCTTTTCTATCTTCCTTCTGGGAGTATCAACACATGGGCGCAAATGAAGAAATGCTTCCTTGATAGGTATTATCCTGCTTCTATCTCGTCTTCTCTCAAAAAGCTAATAAGCAACATCGAGCAAAAGGATGATGAGTCCTTGTATGAATATTGGGAGCGTTTTAAGAAGCTATGTGCTAGCTGCCCCTATCACGGATACACGGAACAAGACCTCATCTTGTACTTTTATGATGGTCTTGTTGATGATGATAGAAGAATGGTGAATGCCGCTTGTGGAGGTGGCATTGTTAACAAAACTCCTTCACAAGCAACAAGCTTAATCTCGGAATTAGCCGAGAACTCACGGCAATTCAGCCGCAAATCCTCCACCCGAAGAGTTCTTGCTGCGGAAACAAGTACAACCGATCTAGAAAGTCAAGTTGCCGGCTTGACTTCTTTGGTAAAAGAACTCCTTCTAAAACCAAAAATTCAGGAGGTCAAAGCTTGTGGCATTTGCACATCAACCGGGCACCCCACTGATTCATGTCCATCACTCCAAGAAGAGCAAGTCAACGCCCTCGGTTTCCAAGGACATCAACAAAGAAGGTATGATCCTTTCTCAAATTCTTATAATCCGGGATTGAGGGATCATCCAAATTTGAGATATGGGAACCCTCAACAAGCCAACTCATCTTCTCAACCACCTTTCAACACCCAAGGCTCAAATTCTCAATCTAATATGTCAACTGATGAGATGATCTGAACTTTGACCTCGAACATGGTTACCATGCAACAAAACATGGGAGAATTTCAACAAACCATGATACAATTCCA